TGAGGGGGTCAACCCCTTTCGATTGATATATTTGATCACGCACAAGATCTCATAGATTAATTCACTCTAATCCTGTCTAAAATAATTTCAATTTGATGGGAGGCTGGTAGAGATCCTGATGAGTAATTTAAATCGAATCGGGTATACACACGCCCCACACTTGCTATTGCTAATATAGCTTATAAAAAGGAAAAAAAGCATCATAGATTAACTTACTCTAATCCTGCCTAAAAGAAGTTTAAGTGCCGCAGCTGTTGAAGATTTCCTCTTGTTATAGGTTAAATCACTTATTAGCCATTAAACGTTACTGTATATAGTAGCTTTCAAATATTGGAATATAAACAAACTGTTACATGTTAGGTATATGCTATCTATTAAACGTTGGTGTGAATAGTAACTGTGAAAAATTAGGATTGCAACTCACTGAAGGTGAAGTATCTTCTAACACTTAAATGTTCAGGTATATACTAATTGTTAAGGTTGGGGTATGTAATAACTGATGAATGTTAAGGTATATACAGTACTTAAACTTTAGGGTGTATACTAACAATTAGGTATTTACTAAGAATTAACTGTTGTTTCGTATATTAAGTGTTAAATGTTATGGTACATATTGTTTACCAACAATTAAATGGTAATATACAGTGTTGGCCAAAATGTTTGCATATTTTGTAACAAATGATATTTTTATTATGATGAAATAAAAATACACTTGGCGTTGTCAAAGTGGGAAATGCATATTATATTAAACATATACATATGTAATCTGTATAATGAGACAGATTCTATGAAGATCATGAGCGATTTATTAGAACAGCAAACAATTTTATCTGACACCTGTAGAAAGATGTGTAATTCAGCCTTTCAAACTTTATAACAACAAAACCTTACTAAAACATATATATAATGACAAAATGTGATAAAAATTTATTATAAATAGCGTCTGTAACATTATATCAGTTCATATTGAATATTCAGTGCTTGGTTGGTCCTCCTTATACTCAACTAAACCCC